TGCAGCAGGGCCCACCTTGCCCGCTCGGGACTGCTTGGTGCTCAGCATCTTGGCGTTGCGTGGCAACGGCATCTTCTCCCTCTGCCTCTGCGAGCAAGCTGGGAGCAGAGCAGGGCTTGATGCAGGCAGCTGCCTGCCCCCAGAGACACTCTCAAGGGCTAGGGGCAGAACCATAGGACACTCATCCCTCCTGGGGGGTAGTGCAGCAGGGACAGACTCCAAGCCCCTCCCTGAGCACAGCAGGCACATGGTGGCCTGAGACAACGCCAGGGAGGGTGCAGGTCTGGCTAGGGGCGTGGGGAAGGGCTGGTGTGCTCTTCCCAGGGGAGAGGGGGGACATGGAGCCCCACGATCCCCACCAAAAGGGTCCTGCTGGGAGCAGGGGAGGGGGGAGAGGGGCAGTTTCCAGCTCCCTGCATCCCAGAGAAGGATGCAAGAGCTCCCACTCCCTTACTCCTCCCCCACCGCCACAACACTCGGCGTGGAAAGTAGGCTCAGGAGTACCTCAGCACCCCAGGGGAGCGGGACCCCCCGCGACAGGGGTCTCCACCCCTGCCAGCCCCCGGGGCACTGGGGAACGGGCATATGGGTGGGGATTGGGGAATCGTCACCCTCGGGGGAGGGAAGGGCAAAGCCTTCAGGAAGCTCCCACTCAGCAGCCACCCCCCAAGTGCAAGCCCCGGAGGAACTGGAGCCCCCCGCTTACCTGCGCCGCCACCCCGCAGCCGGCTCCGGCTCTTTTGAAAGTAGCAGTTCGGCAGCGGCTGGCCAACACTGGCCGAGCGTCGCCCAATCAGAGCGCGGGGCGGTGCCAGGCGGCGGCCAATCGGCGAGCGGGTAGAGATGCGGTTGCTAAGGGGCAGGGCGGCAAGGTTTAAAATTCAGCCCCGGCGACCAATAGAAGAGCGAACTTGCAGAGGGGGCGGGACGGGCCGGCTGGCCGAGGCGGGTGGTGATTGGTGTGACGGGTTGCCGTTTAAATCCGTCTCGCGGGGGCCGCTGGGGGGGTGTCATGGCAGCCAGCAGGGAAGGCATGGTGCCGGTAGAGGAGCGGCCGCTCCTCCAACACCCCCTACCATGGCCTGGTGGGACCCGGAGATCCGGGGGAGCAGCCCCGGCTCTCCCGCCCTTCATGGGGGGGATGGAGCGTCCTCCACAGGCCTCTGGGCCTAGCGCCCCCGCAGGGGCCTTGCCCCCGGCCTGCTGCCTGCTTCCCCTGCTCGCAGCCAGGGCTGTGGGTCACCCCCTGTTCCCCCCCCGCCCCCCCCGGCGGGTTGGGGGGTCTCTGGTCTGGGGGGGCAGGGTGTACCCTGGGCTGGCCATGCCGCTCCTATGACCTGGTGTCACTAATGGGAGATTTAGATTGCTTAAAGGGGTTTTAACATGATGTCATAAAAGCACAATTTAACAAAGTTTGATGGCAAGGTTTGCTCTATTGCTGTGCTGTGCAGTTATTTGAACAATGATTCAAAAGGACCAAGGCAGAGTCAAAAGTTACCAAGGCACAAATCAGAGTTAACCATACTACAAGGTTATGTGTGATTTCAGTCGCTCACCAAAGATCTGCCATTGGTAAAAGGTCTCTCTGCCTCGAGGAGCAACCTGGAGAGGCATCCCAGCTCAAGGGGAGATCACCAGCCATGCTGCCTAGCAGGGAGAGCTCAAAGGAGGCTCGCTCAGGCTGCCATATTTATGGGATAAAGTGGTTGGCTCATAGTCAAGTTACATGCGATGGGAAAGGTATGCACAAGACTCCTTGTACCCACAGCTAACTTTGCTCCTTGATAAATGGGTCTTGGAAAAGCCACATGCTATTCATGTGTTAATTGCATGATCGGTGTTCCAAGCTCATAGGCTTTGATGCTCATTGTGTCACCCTGCTCCTTTGTGGGTTTTCAGAGAACTGATTGAAACTAGAGGAGTTGTGGACCTGGCTATGGCTCAGGCCTTTACCTCCTTTGGAGCCTGAACCAAACTACGGCGAGTGTGGTTAAGGGGTCGAGCACATCCGTCACGCCTGGCCAGGCAGGGATGGCACGAGCAGCCACCAGTTCATCCCTGTTGGTTGAGCTCTGAGGGCTACAACCTGCTGCTGCAGACACAGCCTCAAATAGGGCATGAGTGGGTGCTGTTTAATATGCTGGCCAGGGAGAAAGCCTCTTGCCCCAAAAAGCCCTTGCATCATGGCTGGGGGAAGGGGTCTGTCCCTCTTGCCTCCTCCCCTGCCCTCTGCTCCTGCCTGCTGGGCTTGGGGGACCCAGGAGGGTCCATCCTGGGCTCTTCCACTGGCTCAGTTGCTCTCAGAGGAACTGTCTGCTTTTCATCCCCAGCTGAGATCAGAAAGAGGTGGGGTTGACCTCTGCAGTGAGGAGCCCCCAGCCAGTCCCCCCCTCCAGTGTCTTGTTTTCTGGAAGGAGGATGGAGGTGTTGAGTAACATCCATGTCATAGCTGGCCATGACAAGTGCTGGGGGAGCAGGGGTGGCAGCGGCTGCCGGGGGACAGAGCTAACCCTTGCCTGCAGCCCCAGGGTGGGAGGCACTGAACTCAACTGGGGGATGCTGAGCTGGGCTGGTGGGAGCAAAAGATGGCTCCAAGGGCAGGAGCTGCCCTGCTTGTACGGGGTGGTTGTTACTGGGCCTGCACACCATCTGAGTTGCTCCTGTCATCCCAGAGGCTTTGGGGATGCTCTGACCTGATCCCCATTCCCTTGGGGACTGGGATGGCAGGTGGCACATGTGCCACCTGTTGTGCAGAGGTCCCTTCCCCTCTTCAGCTCTTGGGGGCTTTTAGCACTGCACCAAGCTTCGGGCTCAAAGGACTGCCCCGCCCCCCCATCAAGGTAAGCTCGGCCGAGCTCAGCGCTGCAGCAGAGGAGAGCTTCCCCCAGCTGGCACATTTTCAGCAAAACCTTCCAGATCCCTAAGTTTAACCCAAGGAAATCCTTTGGGATAATCCCACACCCATGTGCCACTGTTGCTGGTGGAGCTGATCAATCCCCTTGCTAGGGAAACATCCCAGTGCCAGCATCTGAGGGGACTTAAACCTGCTGCCCAGGGGCCATGTGGGCAGGATCAGTCCTTTCTCCTTGCTGACAAGTGGGGCAGCTTGGGTCATGTACAGGCAGCTCTGCCACATCTCTAGCAGAAAGAACTGGGGCCGTTGACAGCCAGGAGCAGCAGAACAGCTTTGGGGTGTGGCATGGGTGAGGGGTGCTTGCAGGGCTGGCAGGGGTTTAAACCTGGGTCCCACAGATCTCAGGTACCTTCAGGCCCCAAAACCAGTCAGGGCTGCTGCAGCTCCAGCCCATCTTGTTTCTTCCTTGGCCACTTGTCCTCTCCAGCCCCAGCTCTCCCAGTGCCACCGCTGCCGTCCGTGCCCTGGGAGCTCCCTGAGGTTCACTCACCATCAGTGTGGAATCCAGGTGTCTGCCTCTCCTTGTGCATGTTGGGGCAGCACATACTCCAGCCAAAAATACAAGTTGGGTGCATACTCACCAGGCAGAGCTGGGGCACATCCCACTGCCAATGGAAACATGGTGCATCAGCCTGTGGGATAAGATCCTCAGCCAAAAACCCCCATCCAAGTCTGCCTGTGGCTCTGCGGGGGCTTGGGCAAGCTGCCTGCTTTGGGATGGGTCTGCATCTGCCCATCCTGCCCAGGCTTGGCAGGGGGAAGCCGGCTTTTCCAGTCCTCACAGCGCTGCCATGCTGGTGCTCCTCGGGAGGCTTTTGGGAAGCCTGGTGCGGCTTGCACCACACATGCCGAAATCCCACCTGGCCATCGGGGGGTACTGGAGGAAAGATGGGGCGAACAAGAAGTGGACCCTGCAAGGTGAATGCTGTGGGTCTGCAGCAGGAGCTGTGTCAGCTGTCCAAGCATGGAGGCAAGTTGGTGGTCTCAGTCCTGCCTGGCATCCAAGGATGCTGGGGGCCGGTTTGAGGTGAGACCCTCCCAAACTTTCCTTGGGCTCTGGCATCCCTCAGCAACCCCCCAAATCAGGCAGGATGCCAGTCCTTGGCCCCCCTAATTGGAGCAGGAGTGCAAGGCTGCTGCATTGCCATGACACTCAGCTCTGCACCAGGAGAGCATCCACCACAGGACCACAGAGATAGGGCTGGTGCCTCCCTGGCCCCTGGCAGACCACCAATGCCAGCAGCTGGGTTAAGGGGTGCACTGATGTCCCCCACAGCCCACTCTGGCTGCACCCAGCCTAGGCACTTCTTACACTGTGGTGGATAGAAAAATAGACCCCACTATGTGCTAGCTCAAGAGCATCGGTGCCTGGAGCGTCCCTATCATGAGAAGAGCTGGGTCGCTGCTTCCATCCAGCCCCTTCCCACAGCACTACAGAGCCCACACTGCTTTTTACAGCTGGAGCAGCCGCCAGACCCTGCCTGGCTTCCTGGCACTGTGGGGCTGCCAAGAAGCCCCTCTGCATGGCATCTGGGGATGTTCGCTCCAGGATTGCTTACCAGACAGAGAGCCTCAGGCTCAAGAGAAGGAGCAAGGGCAGGGAAGAGTCGTTCATGGGATCCACATGGACTGCTTTGCCCCCCTTTCCCTTCCCCAGGCTAAACCTTATCCTTTCCCATGCTAAAACAGGCCCAACTTGTTGCTCCCTATGGCCCAGCGCCAGAAACACCGGCAAGAGGCAAGGAGCTGATCGGCACAGGGAGGGCTGAGCTTTGCCGCTTCCTTTTTCCTCCCTTCTCACTATTAATGGCAGAGATCAGGGAGGGACATTGCATCTATGAGCTGTTGCATTTATTTACTGGAAAAAGCCCCAGCAAGTTAACCCCGGGGCTCTCTTGCCAGCGGGGGAAGCATGAAGGAAAGCACAGAGCAATGCTGAGTGACAGAGCTCCTGAATGCCCACAGGGGGGTGAGAGCCAGCACTGTGCCAAGCTGCCAGCTGCCCCAGACCCGCGGTGCAGCTCCCCTGGGGATACCAGGGCTGCAAGGCATGCAGCATGGTAGGGCTATGCGGGGTGATGCTCGTGGTGCTCTCCCACCTGCTCTGCCTGCATCCTCCCCGCATCCTGGCCATTTCTGCATCTCTGCCACTGGCATGCTGCCTGAGTGCTGGGGGGTGTTGCAGCACCAGTGGTGGAAGCCAGCATCCAAGAAGAAACAGGCACAAACAGCCTGGGAAGGCTCAGGGTGGCTGAGCAGGGTTAAGTACTAGAGCCAGCCAATGCGAGCTGAGAATGGGGAGGTTAGCTTAGGGTTAGCGGCGTGTTTGTGACAAAGGAGCCAGTGGCCCCATGAGCCATCCTGCAGCCCCTCATCACACCCAGGGACCACATCTTACCCCCAGGGTTAGAGGTTTCCAGGCTGGTGGAATGGTGGGTTGATGGCCACACTGGGGCTGCCATGGCGCTGCTGCCACTCAGGATGCCCACTCGCCCGAAGGAGCCCAAACTCTTGTGTATCTCCAATGTCAGATCCCACTTAGCCTCTGCTCCCTGCTGCTTTCTGGCCATTTTCTTCCAGTTCTTACTTGGTGGCTGACTTGATCTTGTGGATGGCATATGGGCTTGACTCCTTGGGCATCCAGATCTCCTCCCCGACACGGCCCTGGTGCTCCACTGCTCCCTCCATGGCTGCTGTCAGCTCAGGGCTGAAGATGCTGTCGGTGGCCCTGTAGGTGCGGGTGAGGCGGCGGAAGGAGGAGTCTGAGGAGCTGTCATCGGGAAGGTCTTCGTCCTGCTCATCCTGCAGCTTGGTCCTGCTCAGCTCCGAGCTGCTCCCTAGCTCCGGGTCTTTGAGAGCCTCCCCCACCTCCTGGAGGAAGGTTGTTTTGGGGCTGATGATGCACAGCAGAACCATGAGGCCTCCTGAGACCCCACAAAGAAAGTAGAGGCCAACTTTCTCTGGGACACCTGGGGGCAAGGAGCAAAGAGACACCAGGGTACAAACCGCCTCTGCAGCCTGCAGGGTAGCAGTGCCTGGAAACCCCCCTCTGCCAGGCATATGGGAGGAAGGAGAGGGTAGCAGGGATGCCCTCAGCACCTAGGACAGACCCTGCCCCAATGTTCGTGGGACTGTGACACAGAGCCTCATCAGCACCCACCAGTGTCCTGAAATGCCCCTTTCCCCATAGGAAATCCCCAATGGAATGTGGGGTAGGGAGCACAGGGGGAGGAATCATCTTGCCAGGGATTTAAATGAGTAATTTCCTCTGGCAAGGGAAATTTTTGCCCGCAGAGAGGTGCTCTCCATTAGTGCCCCTGCAGACAGGGCAGGAAGGAAGGAGACCCAGTGGGTAATGCAGCCAGTTGGAGAAGAAAGATCTGTGAGCAGGACTGCAGCAGCACCACAACTGCTGATGCTGTGGGACCTCAGGGCTTTTTCAACCTCCAAGCTCCCACCCTACGTGGCCCCCCTCAAACCCAGCATGGGCACTTGGTGCCCTCCTCCTTTGTGGGCCTGCTGACTGTTCCAGAGAGGTCTGGGGTCTGGCTGCCTCTGAGCAGAGCCCCGGCCTGAGCAGGGGCCATCACGGGACCTGAGCCACCCTCCCAAGCCCGTCCCACTCCCTGGGGTGCTGCGTGAGAGCCGGGGAGGGCACGTACCCCAAAGGTGGGCAAAAGCTGCCAGAGAGCTAGTAAAAATCATCCGGTCTTCCCGGAGCCTGGAGAACCTGGGCCCTTTGTACCAGCCACCTGCAGCGAACAAGGGGACGTGGGCTGAGACACAAGGTGCTCCCCATTGCTCTGCTGCTCAACTGCCTGCCCCTGCCTGTCTCCTTCCCCACAACACACTCCTTCCTTCCTGCACAAGCGCTTCTCTGCCTGTGGGGATGCTCCCCTGCAGGTCCTCCTCTCCCTTGCTCCCAGCAGACCACATCTCCAGCCCCTCAGTCATGGGCACTGACCAATGGGTGGCTTCAGCCACGGGACAGTGATGCTGGGATGGAGCTGCAGGGCTCATGCCAGCAGTGGGTACCACGGACGCAGACAGGCCATGGAAGGGGTGGTTCACCCAGGCATGGACACGATGCCGCACCACTTTTGGCGCAGCCTCCCCACCACGTTACCGTGCATGTAGTCCGAGAGCAAGAAGGGGTCTGAGGTCTCAGGGCCCACCTCCTCCAGCAGCTGCTTGGGTACTGCAAGGAGAGTACACACTGAGCATCACCACCCTGCTCATCCTTAGCAGCCCCTGCCTCCCCAGGAAGCCCTGCACCCCTGCTTGCATAGCACAGGGTGGGCATAGCAGAGGCTCAGCCAGTGGCACCCATGCCCCCAGCCCCGTGGGTGGCTCTCACCGCAGGTGTAGGAGACTCGCAGCTGTTTCTTTGTGCCAGGGAGGCATGGGTCCCCGAAGGTGGCCCGGTCAGCAGCCACAGTGCAGTTCCCCTTGCGGTGGCACTTCTTGGAGACCCTTCGCAGGGCATCCGGAGCCAAGCACTCTGCAAAGACATGGGACATGGACCCATGGACAGACCTGCCTGCCCTGCTCACTGGGCACCAGCCAGCTGGGGCCAAGGGGCACAGGTACAGCCTGATGTCATACTTGTGCCATGCTCTCTGCATGGCTTCTGGCCCCATTTCTGGCTTGAACCTTTCTGATGTACCTATATGGGGTCCCCCAGTGTTCAGGGCATCACACTCTGGTTTGCCCCGCAGGAATCGTCCGTAATTTGCAGAATAAATGGCCAGGATGGATTTCGGTCGGCACTGCAGTCTCAGCTTGTCATTCTCGCACACTGTCTTGACCCGATGGTTCCCTGGGGAGTGACACCGCAGAGTGTCCCAATGCATCCCGAATCACCCACAGCCCCCTCCTCCCTTAGCCCAGCTGAGGGTCTGAGAGCTGCCAAAGGCTGTGAGATACAGGAGCAGCTCGGCTCCCCTCTCTGCCCCCTTCTGAGCAGCCGAGGTCAGGGAAGAACCCATGCAGTGTTGCCCAGACCCCGCTCCACCTCACCTGGCCGGCACTTGTAGGAAGCAATGAGGTACTTGTGTGTCCCGGGGCATGGGTCCGGCCCAAAGACTTGGCTGTGCACCAAGAACTGGCACCACTGCTGATCCTGGCACTCAGCCAGCAGCTTCTGGAGAGCAAAGTGGGACAGATGTGAAGATGGGTGAGGAGTCCTGGGGCTGTTCTCATCTCCTTTCCCTCGGTGCCATCACCAGGCTCAGGGAAATGGCCTCTCACCCTGCAGAAGTGCCCTATGGCTGCTCATGCCCCCTGCCCCACCACCGCAGTCACCCTGCTTCATGTATTGGTTCCTGAATCAGTTCCTGCCCTGCACCCACAGAGAGCTGTGTGCCAGCACACGTCTGCCAGTACCTGTGCCGGCACGCGTGCCAGCACCGCACCACACCACGCGTGTGCAACACCTGTGCAGGCGTGCACGCTAACCCAGCCCCCTGCAACACCTGTGCAGGCGTGCACAGCGACGCGGCTCCGTGCACTCACGCCCACGCCAGCAGGGCTCCCTGCAATGCACAAGCGCGGCCACAAGATGGGGACGAGGGTTCACACCACCGGGCTGCTCGGGCAGCGTCCCCGCTGGGGACCGGGCTGGCCTCTGCCGCTGCCCGCTCTCCCTGCCAGCCCACGGCGGCCCGGAGCGACGCTGCCGAACCCCCGGGCGGCCGAGCCGGGCCCGCGGCTCCGGCTGAGGTGTCCCGGGCGGCCCGGGCTTGCGCTGGCCGTGGGGCTGCGGCTCCCAGCATCCCCCTGGGACGCTGGGCCTGCTGCAAGCCCCAGCAGCAGCAAGCCCACAGCCTGAGCAGAAGCTGCTGCCGGCGGGGCGGGGGGGGCCCAGCTTGTTCCCTGCCCTCGCTGCCGCCCTTCTGGGAAATCGCCCTGCGACTCCGGCCCTAGGATCCCAGCTCCTGAGAGGGTGGAGCCCCTTTTCATCTCTCCTTCCCCTCTGCTGTCCCTGTCCCCTCCAGCCCAGCACAGGACTGAGCCTCCTCCTGGTCTTCACTGGCTGCCAGAAGTGAAATTTGAGGAGGAAATGCAATTAATCTCTCTGCTAGGGTTTTGCCTAAACGGAGCTGAACATCATCAGCAGCCTTGCTCTCTGCTCCCCAGACGTCCCTTCTCCTCCAACAGCAGCCTCCAGGCAGCGGGAAACCCAGCCCGTGCGATCATGGCCCCCCGGGTGGAGTGCCTTCATCTTGCTGCAAACCTGAGCTGCACAGATCCTGCTCGCAGACTTGCCCTTTGGTCTCCAAACGTCTGTGCTGGGCTGTATCCTCCATCCTGCACTTGGCACACAAGCTCTGGGGACCCTGACCTGTGTTTGCAGGGTGGTCTGTGGGGCCAGCTTGGTGCCACAGCAGCACAGTCTGGCTCGGCGCTTGCAGAGCTCCTGGGACATGTGGGATGCTGGGAGGGGATCTGCGGCTGGAGCAGGACTGAGCAGCAAAGCCTCATGGGCTCCCAGAGCAGGGAACTGGCCCCTCAGCTCTTGTTCCTCTTCTCCAGCTCCATGTTCCCCTTCCCCACAGGCAGCTGCACGCAGCTGGGTTTGCTGCGGTTTTGCCCCAGCCTTGCCCCAGCAAGGAGCTGGAACAGGAATAGAAGAGTAGCATGTGAAACCCTGTCCCCATTGAGGGACCCTCCTGCCAGCCCCCCACCATGCGTCCCAGCTGCCCTGGGTTTGTCAGAGCCCTGTGACCAGGAGGTAGAAGTGGGTACGGTTTGGGCATGCTATGTCCAGCACTGCACGGCACATGGCCCATCTCACCCACTCTCCTGCAGCAGCCGGTGGGTGCGGCATCTCCCCAGCCATGGGTAGAGCTGAGTAGCTGCACCAGGGCTTTGCAGCTGGGGCCAAGGAGCGTTGCCCGGCTGAGCAGGGCTCTGGAAAAGGCAGCGACCAGGCTCCTGCGAGTACAAGGCCAGCTCCAGCCCCAGGTGCTCCTGCAGGAGAAGGAGGAGGTCATGGGTGAGTGCAGCCCCTGGGAGACCGGGCTCCAGCGTTCAGCAAGGTTGAAGTTGCTGAGAACTGGAGGAATTTGGCGGGCAAAGGACATGTGCTTGAGGCTTTACAGAATGAGCATCATTGCTCTTCTTGCTCCCTCCAAGGTGACTGCTATGATGCCTGGACTAGGCTGCTGCCAGCTGCAACAGCCGATCTGGTCCAAGGCATCCCAAGGCCACGGATGCTGAGGCCAGCCGTGCCAGCGTGGAGAGCCAGAAATCAGGGTAAAGTTGCAGGATGCCAGGGGACGACATCCCTCCCAGCTCCTCTCTGCCCCATTCCTCAGGCTGCTCATGATGTCTCATTTGTGGGGCCAACGGAGGGCTGATGTCCTCACCAGGCAGAGGGTTTTCCCCCAAACGCAAAGAGGAATCAAGCACAGCCACAGCACAGAGCAGGCTGTGGGGCTTTTGGGGCAGCCTGGCAAGCACTTCCTCCAGCCAGGCATCAGCTTTGGAGAGGTCTCTTCCCTTCCGCCAGCCCCTGCCTTCCTCCCATCTCCCTGTGCTGGCTACTGTGATCAACAGACCCTCCTTTGGGCCTGCTTCATTAATCCGCTGCTTAGGAGCTGCAAGCACGGATGGGTGCTTCTTCTGGCTGGGGAAGAGCCACGCTCTGTGCTAACCCCAGGGGATGCACCCATAGAGCTGAATGCAGCATTCCTCGTGGGCCCCTGTCCCACTTCCCCAGCCTGGCACCCTGGCTGTTGCATCCAGCTGCTGGAGCTTTCTCCGCAGAGCCTGCTGTGTCCTGCGGGATTACTCCACAAGCTAGCTCAGGATGCAGCAGTGCCTCCTGCCAGGCTCCTCTGGCAGGGCTGCCCCACCCTGGGACCCAGGGCAGAAGGTCTCATCCACCCTTATCTCCCAAAAATGCTCTGGGAAAAGGACCCCAAGAGTGAATCCCCACGCCGATAGCAGCAGCCTCCCTCTGGGCACAGGGAGGCTGTGCTGCCTGCAGCCACACAGGCCAAGCAGCCAGCCCAGCGACCTGGGGAAGGAGGGATGTGCAGCCTGGTCCCTTCGGACCCCCTGCCCTTACCAGGTGGGCGGTGGTGGACGTGCACTCGGTGTTCTCCTGGGAGGCATTGCCAGGGCTGGGGCAGAGGTTGGGACTGGGTACACGACGTCCATAGAAGGCGCTGAGGATGCTGATTGTGGTCTTGCGAGGGCAGATGATGAGGAGCTGCTCCCCGTCACAGGTGTGGGCAGTGTGGTTCCTCAGCACCTTGCGCAGGTACCCTGGAAGGGGAGAGCATGGGCAGTGTTGGCTAGAGGAGACAACGGGGCCTTGGCAGTGGCAGCACTTCAGCTCCTGACAGCCGGTGGCAGTGAGGACGTCCTGGGCTGGGGCACTTTATGGGGCAAACAGGACCAGAGTGGGGCTGCGGCAGAGAAGGTGGGCTTGCAGCGAATCTTATATCCAGCATTGCAGCCAGGAGGCTGGAAAGCAGCATGGAGTAGCCAAGCTGGTTAGCAAAGGGAAGTGAAAGCTGGAGGCAGGATGACAGGGCAGAAAAAATATGTACGGAAGAGTCCCATGAGGAGTAGTAAAGGGTTCAGAGAAAATCAGGCATGTTATGGAGACATGGGGAGGAGAGAGTAAGGATGAGCCAGAGATGATCACTGGAATCAGGGAGAAGAGGATGCTTTCTGTCACATGATACTGAGCCATGAGCTGGAGGAGAGAAGGGTCCAGCAGCTGCTGCGACCTCCTGCAGTTAGCTGGGTTGGTTATGGATGGGTGTGAGCCACAAAGTCATCACTGAGCCCAGCTGACCCCGGGTCTCTCTGCTGTTCCAACAGGCACTGACTTGTCTCTCCCTGAATTCCCAGCATGGGGCATTTCTGTCTTTTAATCCTGCCTAGTTTGTGTCCCAAACTACTTACCCTGTTGTTTTCCCTACAAGGAACAATAAGGTGGGGCTGTCCTGCCCAGCCTTTAAGAGGGTTTAACAACAGGCAGCTATCAGCTCTGGCTGGTATCAGCTATGCTGGGTGAGCGAGGAAGCTGTTTTAATAAAAGCTTTGCAAGCTGCCAGGGGTGCTCTGAGCAGGCACCAGTTGCTGGAGGAGGCTGAGGAAACTGGAAAAGCTGGCAAAAAATGATGCATAGGGCCCCAGACAGAGCAGTTTGCATCAGGCTTTCGAATAAAACAAAAGCAAGGGGGAAGCATCATTTTGAGGCTGGGAGGTGGGGACAGGGCAACCCAGTACCTGCCAGGCAGGACCCTGGGCTGCTGGGTGGGTCGCAGACCCCATGCCCAGCTGTGGGGTCCTTGGAGGGACTCACACTCCAGCCCTAGCCCATTGCTGGGGTCCAGGGCAGGACACGCACCCTGTCCCCCAGTCCGCAGCCTGTCAAACTCCCCCAAACCAATACAAGAAGGTGGGAATGCTGGCTCCCAGCCCTGTGCTTCTGCCCCTGTCCCTCCGCAAACTGTTGCCAGGCTCAGCTGCACAAAGGGCCCCTTTCACCTTCCCTCCTGCCACTAGCCCTTTGGCATCCGTGGCCAGCATCCCTCCCCAGGAGATGTCAGCAGACACGGCTGGGAGCTGCTCCCGCTCGGAGTTAATCTTTCCCTTGGACACAGGCAGCTGCTGGCATTTCTCCTTGCAAGGATGAGCGAGTGGGAGGGCCAAAGCCTTGTGCAAGTGAGACCTTGCTCACTCCTCTGTGTGCTGGAGGAGAGAGGAAAGGAGAGGCATAGGAGGGTGGATGGGAGCAGGCAAGCTGTTTTAGCCAGATTGGAGATGCAAAGATGCTCCTTGCAGGGCACAGAGCTGGATCAGCCCCTTGGGGTGCGGTGCCAACAAAGAGGGGGGAGCAGGACAAGCCCCATCTTGCCCCTCTCCTCTGGTTGCCCCATATCACTGGATGCTGGGGACCGTGAGGGGCATGGGACCCTGCCCGGGCTACAGGCCCCCATCTCCTTCCTCTGCATCCCCTGCAGCAGCTCCATGCCTGTGGCACCAGCCAGGCTCCTGTGCAGGCTCCAGAGCTGCCTGGTGCTTGACTTCTGCCTAGCACCACCTCCAAACCTGCCTGCCCATCCCCGAGAAGGCTGTAGGTGGGGCTGCCCAAAACCCCTGCTGCCAGGCCAGCCCTGGACACAGAGGGCTGAGCCAAATCCTGGGGATGGTGGGAGACGAGGGGGAGGAATAGGGGGAGAAATGGGTTTCCCCAAATTCAGCCTGCCTTGCAGCTGGCACCCTCCTCTGCTGCCGTGCTGGCTGGCGGTACTGGCAGTTTGTATTTTAAAACTGAGGCTCAAACAGTGCCACACGGACAGAAGTTTCTCTATCACACCATTTTGGGGCAGTGAGCAATTGTGAAAATGGGGGGGGGGGGGCTTGAAACCATGGCAAGGAGGCTGCAGGCAGATTTTGTGAGTGATTCCGGTTGCCTGCCGGTGCCGCTGACTCAGTCCCTGGTCGTGTGGTTGTGCAGTTAGCTCTGCCCAGATGAAATCACATCCTCTCTGCCACATCCTGCCCTGCTGTGCTTGGTGGCATTGTGCTGTGCTCTCGCACTGCCTGGGCCCGGCAGAGCAGAGGGGAAGGTGTGCATGGCTGTTTCTAGAAGATTCCTCAGAGGAATGGCAGCCCCCAGGCACCCAGCCTGCCTGCACCCGTCCTGACTGTCCCAAGCACTGAGGCACAAGGGATCCCAAATTTCTGCCTCAGCTACATCTATAAGGCTTACTGGCGTGGCTCCCGGCGAGAGGACCTGGCCCTTGCTGTACCTTGTGGCAGTGCACCCTGCAGTCTCCCCTACTCATGGGTGGCTCTGGCTGCGGTCTGAGTAAAGCTTCAGCCCTTCTCTTGCCTCACCTTCTCAGAGCAGAAAAGGCTTGCAGGGGAGCCCTGGGTGCTCCAGCAGCCTTCAGCTCCACACACCAATCAGCACCAAGGGCATGAGCATCATGGCCACAGGGGGATCTCAGGAAAGCTTGGGGACTGTCTTAAGATTTGGGGTTTTGCATTTCTGCCTCCAAACTGTCCAAGGGAGCACAGCAGCAGTGGGGGGAGCAGCTCCCTCGTGGGGTGTTTGCAGATCCCAGCCCTGCCATGGGGATAAAAAACCCCAGGGTTTTTGGCAAACTCCCTCTGGCCTGCACTGGTTTGTGCCTTACTTGTCCCTACCCCGCCAACCCAGTTGTCGCTTCACCCTCCCGTCACACCGGCGCAGTCCCCAGCATCCCTCATCACCCTGCCTGTGCCCCGACTCACCAGAGAGCTCCGGGCTGGCCTCCAGCCTCACGGCCAGGCAGAGCAGGACCAGGGCTGCTGCTGGCCCCACTGGCCCGGCCATAGCACAACCGCTGCTGGCTCTGCTGCGTCCCACCAGGCAGCCTCTGCTGGTCCGGTCCTCGGTGGCAGCTGGCGCCGGGGCTGGCAGTGCGCGGGGACAATGGCTCGCTTCTCTGCACTGCCAAAGCACTGGGGCTGGGCGGGTGCCTGTGTACCCGCTCTTTGTCTGCTGCCCAGGGCAAGGGGCTGCTCTGGACAGCTGGGACACTCTCAGTACAGGGACACCTCCTACGGGGAGGGAGGGACATGTTTTCAAAGGCAATCCATGGTGGGTGAGTGGGTGCTGTGCCTTGGCATCACTGTCGCTGGCGGAGAAACTGGCAGCCCCTTCCCTCCCACCTCCATTCCCCCCAAACAGAGGGATGGGGCTTGGCAAGGTTTCCAGCGTGCCCCCTGCTTTCTCATGGACACAGTGAGGCAGAAATCCGGATACACGTGTGCTGTAATCTTCATCTCGGCAAATGTCCGGCCATTCACCATTTGAGGAGGAACGGAAGGGCTGCCTGCGCTGCCTCCCAAGGCGGTTGTTCCTGCAGAAAAGGCAAACGCCCTCCCTGCATCAAACACCACGGGCAGGGACCTCTTTGCTGCCGCCCTTCTGCCCCCACAGCCTCCGCAGGGCCAGATATTGGGCACTGCGATATCTTGCGAGGAGGGGACCGTGCCATCCCCATGCCCTCTGCCCCGCAGGAGTTAAATCCCTGCCCGCTGCTTCAGCTGGCAGCTCGGAGGGAAAGGCAACAGGCAGGAGCTGCTCACTCTGTCCCCAGGCTGAGGTCAGCACAGAAGGCAGCCGCCGGCAGTGCCAGGAGCCGGCGCAGCACCCTGCAGGCTCAGCATCACTTAGGCAGGGGCGGCAGTGGGGGGGCCGGGGCAGCAGCAGGGACCAGCACACATCACCCAGGGGTCTGCAGTGGGAGCTGGGTGGGGGGAGCAAGATGGGCACTGAGCTCGTGGTGAGGGTGCTGCTGAGGCCTCACTTGGCACTCGTGATGCCATTAATTCATCCCTTTTGCTTATGAGAATGTCAGGCAGAGGTTCTTGTCCCATGAGGTGGAGTTTCAAGTTGTCTAAAAGCTTTGATGGGACAGAAAGAAAAAAAAATGCCTCCCCAGCCTCTCCCATGCAGCTGCCATGCAGTGTAAGCACTGCTCTGGGCTGTGCAGCAGCACCCAGGAGAAACATCTGCCTTGGGAAGACTCCTCTGGGAGCCTGCAAAATCATTTCTCAGCCTAATTGTCTTGGGGTGGATGCTTTCTTATCAGGGTTTGATTATTTTTAGGAAAGTCTGAGCTTACCCAAGCTGGGGGCGGGGCTGAGTCAAGCAATCAGGATCCCCATTTTGTGCAAAGCTCGGTACCAGCTATGGGGTCCCAAGGTGCGAGATGGGACTTGCCCAAGCGAGGAGTTAAGCCCATGGGTGCTGGGAAGCCGTCTCCACTGGGACAGCAGCCAGGACGATCTGATGGCAAACATTTCCCTCCCATCCTGGGGAGGAAAGCAAGCTGGTCATCCTTCCGGCGAAACAGCCCAAATTCCAGGAACGGGGCCCTGCAGGAGGTCAGCCCTGGAGACATCCCTTCCCATCACCCCGCCACGCACTGCCCTGGCTGGGCTGCTGCCAGTGGCGCTCTGGGGTTCCCTGCTGCACCCCGACACGCTCCACCCGCTTTGCTTTCCCTCACTGGCTGTTTTGCAATCCTTCCTGCACAAGATCTGCACCCTGGCAGTGCTCGGCCCGCTGCAAAGAGCTGGTGGCAGGCGGCCAGGCTGCCCCATTCAGCTTCCCTGTAGCCTTGCCCTGTTCAGCCCCCGCTCCTTGCAGAGAGGGCTGCTCAGATGAGCCCACCTGGGGGGACCCCCGGTGGTGGTGGGCAGGGAGAGGAGCTGTACCCTGTCTCCTGGCAGCTGTCCATCGTAATGCAGCAGTAGGAGGGGGGAAGGCAGCGGGGAGGTCCGCTCGGTTCACCCCAAAAAGGTAAAGAAATGGCAAGCCGTGGGGCACCGGTGTCTGACCGCAAGGGTGGGAGGATGGTGAAGGGGCAAGACCAGACCGGAGCAGCACGAGCCGCGGCAGGCAAGATGCTTCCTTTGCAAACCCCCCCGCTCCCAGCTGGGAGGTGACAGCAGCGGTGCCGGGGCTGCCTGGGCCGCCAGCCCGCTGCTTGGAGGCACTGGAGCAGTGCCTGGGCGGGCGCGATAGACTGGAAGGGGACTCGTGAACATGTCCAGATAGACCCGTGCTGAGTCACGGCTAGGAGGCCCTGCAGCTCTCCCCTCCCCGCGGGCAGGTCCCGGTGCACACCCCATCGCACACCCCGTTGCTCCTCCCCCCCCTCAAAAGGAAGGAAAGGGCGAGCCCCGGCCCTCCGCGGGGCCCGAGCGCAGCCGAGGTGCTCGAGCCGCCAGCCCTCCAAAAGCCGGAGCGCTGCAAAGGACAGACCAACTCACCACAGCAGTGAGCGGCCAGCAGTCCCTCCCCACGCCGCGAGATGGAGAGTCGGCAGCACAACGCCACCAAGGAGCCTGAGATCGAGCTGTTCGTGAAGGTGGGTCTCGGGAGGGACGGTTGCACTTTGGTGGTTCACCACAGGCTCGTCCTCCCCAGGCTCCAGCTGGGTGTAGGCGGTGGAAATTCGTGGGTGTCGTCATGTTTCGGGAGGCTGGAGATGGGTACCAAGTTTGAGATCGCTCGCCATGAAGGCTGGCTGAGCGGGTGCCCACAGGAGAGGAGCAGGCAAGCGGTGGTGCGGGGACTGGTGGGGTGTCATGCCCAACATCCTAGAAGATGCCCTGGTCTTGTGGTGGTTGCGTACCCCGGGGGAACGGCGCTGCTGGCAGCCGGTGTAAGGAAGGAGCGGGCACACATGCGTCTCTCAAAACCCAGATAAGACAAGCCCCAGCCTGGGAACAGCAAGCGGGAGGGCTGAGAGCAGTCACTTCAGCTTCTTCTGCGAGCCAGGGTTGCGAAACAGTACTGAGGGCTTGGGGAGTCGGCGCAAGTGCCCACGTGTGGGTGGGATGGGGCGGTTTCACAGAGCAGCCCAGGGGGATTATTAGCTGGAAATGTTTTTTTTTTTTTTTTTTCCCCTGTTAAGCAATTTTCCAAACACTTCCCCTGGAACATTTTAACACTCAAGTTCAAAATATTTGCAGCGCACATGCAGGGTATAGAAAGAGAGGAGCTGAAGCTGGCAGCTGGTAACTGCGTGTGCCAGCAGTGATGCCAGCGGGGCCCTGGGACACGCTGTCAAGTGACAGTGGCCAGGGGGAGCAATGCCTCCCTGTGCCACCACATTGAGGTTTTAAGGGCAGTTTCCCTGCAGCCACTCAGCTCCATAGGCTTTGCTCCTCTCCTCCTAGGGCAGCTTGGTGCCCGAAAGGACCATGGTGCCTGGCCGGAGGCACTGGCTTCCCTGGTGTAGGCACCTGGCAGTGCTGGGCACCGTGCGATGCTTTGCTTGAGTTGTAGCTGAAAATATGTACGTGTTGGAAAGGATTATCTGAGCCTTCGTGGGCAGGATCTCCCCTGTCCCCTTGCCAAAACTGTCGCCACAGCGGTGCTTGCCAGGCACCGAGCTCAGCTGAGCCAAATCCAGACAAGTGTATTTTCTTGGAGAAAGTAATTCGGGTCTTGAATTCCCTTAGCACCACTTTTTCCCTGGGATGGCTGGGGAGAAGAGGAAAACGATACATGAGGTGACTGCAATGGCAGCAGCATGTTCAAGGGGGTTTTCAGAGGGAAGGGAAACAGAAAGCAAAGCAGCAGCATTGTCAGGACTTCCCCTATGCCTTAATTTAGCACAAAAAAACCCCCTTCTGGCTTGTCTGTTAACACACAAATTGATGCTGTGCCTCCTTCTCTTACCATTCAGGACCCAGTTTTACTAAAGTCACAGCAGCTCCTGGCTGCAGACAGGCACCCTCCCATGCCATTAGCACCTCGCACCTCTCCTGGGCCGGGGTCCGCCCTGAGACACAGCTGCCAGTGTAACCCGTGATAGCTGTAAAACATGGGGAGCCGATGCTCCCACAAGCGCCTACTGGCACGCTGCCCCTGCCCAGCTTTCACTTTGGCAAATGCCAAAGTTAACTTGGTGACGACGGAGAGGGTGCAAAGCAGCTCCTGCATTGTCTTCGGGTTGGGGTAGGCAGTCCCCAAAGGACTGGCAATTTCTCACCCTGCCATGGTCCTGGTGAGAGCATCGTCCTGCTGGTTGGGGGGCTCTCCCTGCCTGGGAGGAGGCTCTGCCCCTCAGCCCCGTGAGGCATTTAGCTGCCCCAAGGCTGCTTCCTGGCTTTCAGGGTGGCTGTAGGAAGCGTGGGCAGGTCCCGGTGGGTGTTGAGCACTTAGCAGTGCCCCAAATGCTCAGAGCTGCTCCCTCCTTCCGCCACGTTTCATGCTTTCACCGAGGAGGAAACCACAGCAACAGCTAAGTAACTTCAGGGTTTTAATGCCTCATGCAGCCTCATGAGGTCTCAGAGCATTGGCGCTAAAAACCTGCACCTCCCTGGAGATGCTGTGCTAGCCCATGCTGGGTTTATCCATCATCCAGAGGGGAAAAGAGTGAGGAAAGTCAGTCTAGGGGGGCTGTGGGGTCTGCACCCCTGCCCCGGTCCCTGCTGCAGCCTGGGGAGAGCAGGGGAAGAGGGTTTCTCCAGAGAAGGAAGTGAAGAGCAATGACTTCCCTGCTGTGCTACTTAGCTTTTGCTGCGGAGGGAGGGCATGTGGCTACGAGTCTTGCCAAACCCCTTTCCCCTAAGCTCCCCTGGCTGCTGGAGGGGTCTCCCCACAGCCATGTGGGTGCCAGCAGGGCCATACCAAAGCCCGGTGTTCCCCCCCGGCAGCACCCAAGTTCTGGTGGAGCTGCCCTCCACTTCCTCCAGATAAAGATTTGGCTCTGAGCATCCTAGGATGGGCCTGGCTTAGTTTTTTTCCCCTGCAGAGGCCATCCTGATTTTCCTTTCACTCCAGTCCAAAATTCTCCACCTCTCTATTTTTAAAAGACAAGGGGAAAACCAGCCTGAGCTGCTCAGAGGCTGGAGCTACAAGACAAGCACAGAGAACCCTGAAGCAGGCAAGCACAGCCTGAGCCCGGAGCAGCCCCAGTGAGGGACATCCCACACACCCAACTGTCCCCTCCAGCACCACCATTGTCCCTTGTGCAACTCCACCAGAGCTACTCGCTGCCTTGGCTCTGCATAACAGCTCCTGTGGGGCCAACAAGATAAATTGCAATTAAGCCCCCTTGCTCCCAGCCTTGTGCTGAGCGAGGAAAGCAAAGGGGAGTGCAGCCGGCTGGCTGCCCTCTCCTCTGCGACCAGCAAGGCCCATCTCAGGAGAGCAGGGAGGAAAGCATCGGTCCTTGTGCTGGGCAGCCACAAAAGCACCTTCTGAGCTGTTGGTTTTGGAGATGTTCCAAAGGATGGCATTAGTTTTGGTTTGTAGGTGCCAGCAACAATGGAGAGGGGAAGGGGAGCAGAGATGCCAGGCTCTCATGCCAGCGGGGTAGCCCTCATGGCTGTTTTCTGACTCTCCCCTCCAGCTCCCTCACAGGACATCTGATACACAATTTTATCCATTACCAAAGAAGCCTTATTTGTTATAAACTGACACGGGATGCTCCTGAGTGGCAGCTACCCAGGAGCATTTCTTATTAATAGCCAGCAAAAAGCCTTATGTGTGAATTCAGCTTCACTTCTGGGTATATCCCAGAGAATCAATACATTTCTCAGTTCCCATTTCTTTTCTCAGGAGCATCATTTCATGACAGCTGAGCATGGGAAATACAGGTTAAAAGTAATTTTCATTCCTCTGGAAGGACTAAAAAGTGTTGGCATAGTGGAAAACCAGACCATCACCTCCAGCTGACCACTCAAGAGTGTCAGGGTTTTGTTTTGATCAGTTTACCATCTCCCTTAGGGTGAGTTTGAGGCTGGTGTATCTCTCCTGGAGAAGCTGAGCACTCCAGAGTCCACATGTTTCTGGGCACCTGTAGATACAGACAGGTAACTTGTAGCACTTACCTCCAGCCCAGGAGAGCCAGGCACAGGTCTCTGCATCTTCTGTTAATGAAGCATTCTCAGTCATCCTGTCTTTGGGGCCACAGTGGGGTGTGAGCTCTGGAGCCACCTCCAGCTGCCCACTCTGGATATTATTGCTGCTACTTGACTTCTGCACCACCAGATCCTCCCAAATCTCATCACCCTCCTGCTTAGCCTCTGGACTTAAGTTCACCAGCTGATATCAAAGCTTAGCCATCCCATTGGGGCTCATGTGCTGACACAAGCTGCTCTGTGGGAGCAGCATCCCTCTGTGAAGGAGCTGGCGTGAGCTGTGCTGCTCCTTCCTGCTGTGGCAGGACTGCCACATGCGCCAGAGGATCATGGTTCACGTGCAGCTGAGGAACCAGTTAACTCTCTTAAAGAAGTAGAGTTTCCTGTGAGCCATTTTACCTCTCACACCATGGTGCAACTTCCCTC